TAGATATCAAATTCTATGAAACACATTTAATTACATTAAATTTTAAGCTTACAACAAATTTGAATAATTAATAATAATTTAAATTAATAAATGTATTCGTTCTTAAAATTGAACACGATCTTTATATAATATAGCCGTCCACAACAGGACACATATTTATATAATTTCTTTTTGTTAAAAGTGTACATCCAATCGTATCCTAAAATATTGATTAAGTCTCCTGAAACACCCTGTATATACGAATTTTAATCTAGAGAGAAAGGGAGATGAGAGTTTCAAACTCGATCGCACTTGTTGAGAGGAAGCCTTCGCACCAGCTTCATCACATATATCCACCATCTATATATCCACCATCAGCACCTCTTCTTCCTTCTGCTTCGTGCTTGTCCTCCACCTTTCATGATATTCTCTTTCCCCCCTTCGTTCTGCCCTGTTCATCCTCCTCCCTCCACTTCTCATCGCGCTTTCGCTCTCTCTTTCGCTGCAGCTTCGTCTCCTCATGATCCTTCTCTCTCTCTCATACTTAGAGTGGTACCTCACGAGCGACCTTGACCTCACGTCGCGTCCGCACCTTGTTCTAACGTTTTCATCTACGCGTTCGAACGTCATCGACTGATCCTTACATTCTGAATACAGGTTTGTTCTCTTTTGCTGCATTGGTGAACTAGTGCACACTGATGCAGTAAGGGTTTGTTCTTTATTCCTGCACTGATGAACTAGTGCAATAAATTATAGTGAGACATGTATTTTGACTAATTTATTGCACTAGTTCACTAAAGACCAAATCTTGAGTTAGAATGAAACCAAAGATTTGTTCTTCTTAGCTGAACTGCCTGTACTAGTTCACAGTTCATCGTTTTTACTCCATATTAGAGAGATGAACTCTGAATTGGTGCAGCTGGTTCAGCTGAAAAGAACAAACCCAATATACTTGTCTCACTTTAACTTATTGCACCAGTTTGCACTATAGTGCAGCAATAGAGAACAAAAGTTTGTTCTTTTTAGCTGAATTGACTGCACTGATTCAGTTTATCTTTTTTACTCCATGTTGGAAAAAAAAGATGAACTCTGAACTAGTGCAGCCAGTTCAGCTGAAAAGAACGAACTCAAAATATACTTTTTTCACTTTAACTTATTGCACCAGTTTGCATTAGTTCATGAGTGCAGCAACAGAGAACAACAGACCTAAGGTTTGTTCTTTTCAACTGAACTGACTACACTAGTTCACGGTTCATCTTTTTTACTCCATATTGAAAAGAGATGAACTCTAAGTTAGTGCAGTCAGTTCAGCTGAAAAGAACAAACCCAAAATATTCTTGTCCCACTTTAACTTATTGCATCAGTTTGCACTAGTGCAGCAATAGGAACAAACTTTAGGTTTATTCTTTGCAACTAAACTGGCTGCACTAATTCACAGTTCATCTTTTTTACTCCATATTAGAAGGAAAAACATAAACTCTGAACTAGTGCAGCCAGTTCAGCTGAAAAGAACAAACCCAAAATATGTTTGTCTCGCTTTGAGTTTGTGCTCTATTGCTGCATTGATGAATTAGTGCACACTGGTGCAATGAATTAAAGCAAGACAAGCATATTTGTTTCACTCTAATTTATTGCACCAGTATGCACTAATTCATCAGTGCAGCAATAGAGAACAAACCCTATGTGCGCTATACAATTATATAGCAATCCGTACGCATTTCAGGAGTCTCGGGGCATCCGATAATACCAAATCGAAATTCGATAATCGAGGAACGCCAAATCGATTATATATACTTGAAATTTCAAGCTCATTATGCTCGATAAGGAAAACCATATTGTAGTACAAGTGCTATAATTATAGAAGTACAATTGCAATGACGAATTGGTCTTGCTGATGGCCAGGTGTATGCGTCAATGACTCTTTCATATCGGGTTTTCCCCTCGATCTCATCATCTCCTCACTTTCTCCTTATAATATACCGTTTTTTCTCTTTATCACTATCTTCTTTTCCCTGAGATTAAAGAGAGCAGACAAAGTGAGAAGAAAGTGCGAAAGCAACATCCAAGTTATGTCATCGCAAAAGTACACTTCACAGCTGATAAAGGATGCAGTTTGTACCCGACGAATTCGTATAAAATTTGTTCCCCCTAATCTAATCGTTCCGCCTGACATTTACACAAAAACTGTCGAAATCTTTCCTTTGATATCGCACGGGTAAGCGACAAAACGAACAAAATATCAGTTCAGACAGTCGACCTGGCCAAGCCGAGTCAGCCTCCGGAATGGGAATCCGGAATGGAGGGAAGTCTCTCGAGTCGGGAGAAATACGAAAGCGTGACAACCACTGGTAAACACGCGTGGTCACTTTATCGCCGATGCGGTTTCACCGAACAAACGCGTAGTTTAACTGCCGAAAGAACGCAGAAATCATCGTCATCGCGTGTCATTAGACCGAAGAGTCTCCAAGTCCGGCCTGGAGAGAGAACGAATGATAATCAATCGGTCGTAAACATCGTGGCGGCGAAATCGACGCCGGATATGTTTCTTTCTCTCTTTCTCTTTTTAGGTTGAAAGAAAAAGACACCGACAATGGTGTTCACCGGGAACGTGTGTGTCACCGGGAAAATTAATGCGGCGAAACGCAGCCAGGAGAAGGCGGTTACCAGGCACGTTATCAAACAGAGATATCCGCTTTCAAATCACTCGAACACGTATTGTATACATATGTGTATATATATATATATATATATATATATATATAGATAGATATAGATATACGTACTTTTCTCAGCCGCGATACACTGACTCGTATTTTTCGCGTATTCAAAATAAAATTAGGTATTTACATGCGTATCACAGTCACAGAGAGATTGCAGGAAATAAAAAAATCCAAGGCACGCACAAAAAGAGCTCGGATAAAGAAAAGAAATAATTTGAAAAAGAGAGAGAAAACGAATGGCAGAGATATAATTCCACAAAGGTTTTAAAATATTTTATTATTTTGTATTTTATTTTTTTTCTTTGTATAGTGATTTTATTTCGTAATCTCTGTTCATATGCAATATACTCGGTTTATTTTAATTCCAGGATGATAAAATTATAGATATACAGCAGTCAGAAATTGAAAAAAAAAGAAAAATTATGAGACGTAGAAAACTCGGATAAAGAAAAAGAGATAATTGTCAAGAGGAGAGAGAGAAAATAAATATAATTCCATAAAGATTTATAGAATATTTTTTCATATACTTTATTTTCTCGGAACGAAAAAGTGATCATTATTTTACCTTTGCATATATCGTGATTTTATTTCGTAATCTCTATTAATTTGCTATACTCTATTAATTCAAGAATAATAAAATTAAATATATGTATATATATTATATAGTCAGAGATTGAAGAAAAATTTTTTTAATTTGAAAAATTTCGGATTAAAAAAGGGAAATGAATGACACGAAAACTTATAGGATATTCTTTCCTTTTCTCGAAACGAAAGCGATCGTTATTTTTTGCATATATCGTGATTTTATTTCGTAATCCCTATACGTTCATTTGTCATATACTCACAATCAGTTGTTCTCTAGCTTCAGAGAATTATACGCGATTTGTCGCAGTAAACTACGCGCAATAGGTGAAAGCCAGGTGTTTTAATCTCGTCGTGAACGCGCGATTATCATCAAAGGAGTCTGAGATCTCTCGCGGAATCTGGGCCATCATCTGGGCGCTATCTGTTCGCCGATGCCAAATTCTTGCAAGTTATAGTTAGTCGTACTAATAATGGTACTATCGCACATCAAACATCAAGAGAGAGAGAGAAGGAGAGAAAATTGGAATTTCAAATATCGCACATACTTTGAAAAAAAATTGTTAACTTGATTAAATCTTTTAACTAAATATTATTTTGTTAATTGAACATATAAAAATATTTAAATTAAATTTAGCATATAAAATCTAATAAAATGTATATTTGACTTAAATACTAATATATGTTCATTTAACAAAATAGTAATTTAGTTGAAAGGTTTAGTCACACATCAACACATTTTTTTATAATAGTATAGTTACGCACATTTGCGTAACTCGAATGAAAAGAAAAAAAGAAAACAAAAATGCTTTCTACGTTCGATTAAAAAATTTCTTAAGACTGTAATCCGTGAAACGAATCTACCAACAGTATTTATGGCACGTTATGAAAGAGAAAAATTTCAATCCTTCCGCGGAGAAACTCGATTAACGAGTGTTTGGAAAATCGATAGTTAACAATGCATCGAAAAATTTATTTCATGCATTGCGAATTGTTAATCAAAATATGTGTATGTATACACGTTTTAATTCACAATGCATGGAATATATTTTTCACGGTTTTATGCATACATATATATGTATGTGCGTGTAAAATTCGCTAAATTTGCACGGCAGAGAAATATATAATTCATAAAACGCGAAAGAATAGACAGCGAGAAGAGATGATTAAAAAAAGTTAACGATTCCTATTTTTTGCAGTATTCTCGAATTATCCTCGGGTATTTTTCGCTTTTTTTTATATAACTGCGACTTATAGTTTTAGTGAAATCGATCCGCAACCCGGATGCTAATTAAAAACGAGGATTCATTTCGCGTTCGTCCTGTTGTAATGACGTTAAACAAAATGAGGGAAACCCCTCCTCCCTTGAATGGCTACGTTAATTTTACAAACAATTATTTATCGACGGAATACCGCCGCATTTCGTAATTGTTAATCATAAATTGCGTTATGTCTGGCTACAACCGGAATTATATTTTCGTTGTCCTGGGGATGCTCTTTTATATATATATATATATATATGCACCTTGTTAGGCAATACTTTCCAACTAGATGTTATTTAACAAAATAACATTGCCAATATTAATCAGCGCTCTTTTTTTCGACATATAATTAAGCGCGCGAGTTAATTGACTGCTACTCATCGTATATATATATATATATATATATATATATATATATATATATAATTAAAATTATTTGAGTTTCATAAAAACTCACCTTAATCCATCCTCCATGAGCGGTCACCACAACATACAGCAAATACAGATCTATATCCTTCCCGTTGATCTTCGGAGACTTCTTGAAGAGCGTCCTGAAATTAAAAAATGAGGCATTAAATAGTTTTCTCTCACTCTTTTCTCCAACACAAATTAAAAAATATTTTAATATATATATAATAAATAATAAATATAAAATTCATATAATAATACATGTATAAATATATAATAATATATATAAAATAATTTTTTCTCCTTTAGGATGTACGATTTGATTATACACATGCGCAGAACAGTTTCATTTATGTAGCAAAAAATATACATCAAACATATTCTCGATTATAAAACCTGCACGCACATATATACGTATATAAGTGTACATGTATATAACGCAGAAAGTGAAAAATGTATAAATTTCCTTTACACACTCGCAGAATCCCAAATCACAAAGTTTCGAATTCAACTCGACAATAAAAAATCGGCGAAAAAAATGGCGTCTATACCTGAAATCCATGAGACGCGAGGTGACGAGGTTTCGAAATTTTTAACTGTACCCGATACACGTCATTTCCATTTTCACATATTACATACACACGCGTATTAAAAAAATTGCACACTTTGCATAATCGCGACGATTAAACAAAAAAAAACCACGAACTAAAAAGTCGTAAATCGCGCAACACAAAGACTAAATACACTCATTGACAAAAAAAAAAAAAAATTGCATTTATGTTACAAAAAAATATATCTATATATGTGTAAGAAAAAAACCTAACAATTTTCTGACCTCTTCTCGTGCATAAAATCGTTATTAGGCAAAGAAAACGCGAAAGACGAGAGAGAACCCATTGTCCCTCTTGAACCGAAGTGAAGTTGGCCGCGGTAGAAATCGGGTTCGACCTAACCTCAAAACTCTCGCGCGCTCCCGATCATCCACTCGCGTGTCGCGACGGCTTCCGTCTGACCGTCGATCCGGTCGCTCGCGACCGCGATCCGCGAGGGGGGGGGGGCGGGAGGGAGAGGAAAAGGGGGAGGGGGAGATTCTAAATTCTCGAGATAAGCGTGGACGCGCGAAAACGGAAAGAAAGTGAAGTTGGCAGCGAAACAACGTCACTTTGACGTAAAAAACGTCACTTTGACGTAAAAAACGTCACTTTGACGTAAAAAACGTCAGTTTGACGTAAAAAACGTCAGTTTGACGTAAAAAAAACGTCAGTTTGACGTGAAACGTCATTCGACTCGCTACCATTCGAGAAGAACGCTCACCCTCTCGTCTCGTGGAAGTGTCGGAGGTCCTTGAGGAAGTTCTCCCTCTCCTTCTCGTACGTGACGGGGTCCTTGTTGAGGATCTTGGCCATGTTCCTGGCGTCGGGGGTAACTCGTGCGCGCGGGACTATGCGTGCTAATCGGGACGGTGATGACGATGTGCTCCGGGTTTACAGGGCACGCAGGGGGCAGAGAAGAAGAAGAGGCTGACGAAGGAGGTGCAGCACATGGGCGCGCACGGGGGCACATTTACGCGAGGAGAGTCCTGCTGCTACCTTCTTCTTCGTCGTCTGCGACGATGACGCTGCTGCTGCTTCCGCCGTCTTCAGGGTAGGACGAGGACGACCGCGGGTCGACATCGGGTCGTCTTGTCCTGCGAAAGTCCGAAGTCGGCCGGTGGCCTCTTCGTTGTTCCTTCTCTCTCTCTCTCTTTCTTTCTTTCTCCCCCACCCTCTTTCTTCCTTCCTTCTCTCCGTCTCTTCTCTTTCGTACTCTTCTCTCTCTCTCTCTTTCTCCTCTAACCGTCTCTCACTCGCTCTCGACGACGGCGGCGGCGGCTCCTTCCTGCCGCACCGCCGCCCCCGGATTGCCTCCTGCTCGTCGCGTAACGGCGTATAAACGCTCTCACGGGCGCGAGGGGTCCCCTCGTGCGAGGAAAAATCCGAACGCGCCACCGACCGGGAGAGAGAGAGAGAAACACACGATCAGTCGCGCGACTCGTCTCGTCGCCTCTTCTGCTCCTTCACAACGAGATGTACACGATATATGTATGTATCATATACGACACACAGCACTGGCTCCGCTCAGCTCAGCTCTCGGCACGCAACAAACGCGACGAACAGAGGAGGTAGCCTCCTCCACCTCTCTCTCTCTCTCTCGTAGGCCCCCGATCGATTCACCTGTCACTTGTCAACGAAACTCACGGGATCCGTTTGCGCGACGGCGTGCCCCGGCCTCCGCGTGAAACACGCCCGAATTCGGCTGCGCGGTTCCAACCGGGGGGACCCAGGGGGGCCGCGGCAGAGTAGCTCGCTCGCGTAAGTTTCTTCCTACTCGGCGAAGCGCCTCGGCTTAGCTTGACGTGCGCCCGTATATCAAAATGGCTGCCCGTGTGGCTGCTGCCGCCTGGCATCCATCGGCGAAGACGGCACCGCGACACGAACGGGAGAAGAGGGCCCCAGCACGGCGCACCACACCGGGGGCGACTACGTTTCTCAGCCCGTAACCGCTCAGCGAGACGGACAACGCGCCGCGACACGACGGTACACCTACACCTACCTACCGCCGTTTCCGCTCGCCACACACGTCGACAGGCAGGCAGGCGCGCGCGCTCTGACGCCCGAGAGACGCGACGCGCTCTCGCTCCCTCCTTTTCCTCCTCTCTCTCTCTATCTTTCTTTCGTTGCCTTCTACGTCATTTTACTACGGTGCGACGACGCGAACTCGAGGAATTTTTCGAAGAGACAGCGAGGGAGCAAGTCCTCCGATTTAACCCGAGCAGTCGCGGCCCTTTTGTCACCTTCCGCGAGACGCAGACCGTCTCTCGCGCGCGCGAGACCGAAATCCTTGCCGCTCCGCACGGTATTTTTACTTTCAAAATGGATGGGTGGCCCCCCTCTCGCGCTCTCGCCTCCCTCCCTTCGTGCCGCTCCGCGCGGCGACGAGACACTGAGTGCCGCCGCGCCGCGGCGCGACCTGCCTCGCCGAGCGCGCGCGCCATCTGTCGGCGGCGCGCGGGACTAGGCGAGCGGAGGCGGGAAAGGCGCCTGGATTCGAAGCGCGATCGCACGTAGATTTTATTGAATAATATATATATATATATATATATATACAGGGTTGGGAAGTAACGAGTTACTTGTAACGAAGTTACAGTTACAGTTACTTTTTTTCGGTAACTGTAACTTAACTTCGTTACTTTTCTCCATCTGTAACTGTAACTGTAACTTAGTTACATTTTTTTAGTAACTAGTTACTATTTTAACAGTTACTTTATTAATTACTTTTTTTGGAAACATTCGCTAAAAGTATCGTTTAAGTATGGTAGCCGTTATATTGTTAAATTAAATTTTGATAACAGTAGCATATATATATATATAAATCTTCATATAATTTAATTTTTTACCTAAAATTTTTATTTTGTGTACATAAAATAATACAACACATAATTACAATCGACCAATCACAGTCAAGTATTTAAAAAAATTCTTAAATGTAATAATTAATCGATTTGCTTGCGACTTTGCGATTACTATTTAGTAAGTTACCATATATAACTATTTTTACTGTTGTATATAAAGGTCATTCATACATTGATGGTAATCGCAAAGTCGCAAGCAAATCGATCAATATTACATTCAAGAATTTTTTTAAATACTTGACTGTAGTTGTGCATAATATGTAAGCTCCTTATATATTTAAAATAATGTATAATTATTTTTAAAAAGTAATTGAAAAGTAACGATACGTTACTTTTTGAGTAACTGTAACTGAGTTATTTTTTAAAATTGGTAACTTGTAACTGTAACTAGTTACTGTTTCAATAAGATAACTGTAACTGTAACTAGTTATTTTTACAAAGTAACTTTCCCAACCCTGTATATATATATATATATATATATATATATATATATATATATATATGAGATATATAGATACTCATAACCCATACAGCACAAAATATTTGTAAAATCTTTTCAAAATATTTCTTAAAAGATAAAATAATTCTTGAAAATATTTTTCAAGTGTTTCCATGTCCGCTTTCTCATGTGTAAAAATATTTTCAGAAATATTTTCGATCGATATATAGATTAAAACTAATATTTCAAAAATATGTATCAAATATTTAAGAAAATATTATCTGAGCGATAAAGATGAACATTTTTAAAAATATTTTTAACAGTTTTTTTAAATATTCTAAAAAATGTTAACACAAAAATTTTTACATTATTTTAAAATATTGCATAAAATCATTTTAAAACGTTTTTATGCAATATTTTATAGAAATATTTAGAAATATTTTTTGAAAACATTTATAATATTTTGTGTTGTATGGGTTATATCACATATGTTTCATTTTTGGAAATATAAATACTAAACTAAGAAATTTAAGTTATATACTTGTTTAATTATTAAGATTAATAAAGAATAATATTTTTGTATATTTTAGTATTATCGAAGGCGAATTATATATTAAAAGATTCATTTGTTTTCGTAAAGTGTTGAAAGGAATTTAATGTTTTTTCACTTTAACTTTATTACAACTTACCTTGAATTTTTAGAATTTTCATGAATTTGTTAAAAGTTGATTATTAAAGGTTTATTTCTCCTAAAAGTAGATTGTTATAAAATAAAACGAAAAATGTTCTTTAAACGTTTACATAATGTTAATGTGTTGATGGGGTTTGAAGATATTGTCCTCTCTGTCATTATAGCGTCGTCTTCCGGATAAAGTTTCGTTAGCATTTCATTTGGTACATAATGCGTATTTTCGAATCTGCAAAAATAGCGACCAATTTCGTAATTATCGATCCATTTTGGCGCTGCTAAAGTGAGTTTGTCTAAAATAAAAAGTAAAAATAAAAAACAATGTATGAAAAGTGAAGTAAATAATAAACAAATTAATAAAGGAAATGTATTATGACTGCGAAATCAATAAAAAACCGAATTATAAAAAGAAATAAAATGTTCGTAGAATAAACAAATATATAATTTTCTATAAAACACGTTCAATATGATATATACATATATAGTACATATTCATACCTTCATTCACATAACATATTTTATTCTTATCGGTAAGAATAATATAATTTGTTTGGTTCTTTCTAAATTCGTAATTATGACAGTGATTTAACGGCAAGAAATTAAGAGCTATTTCAATTGTACGATTTGATTCTCCATCAAACACTGTATCCGGTAGATGGTGTGTCAAAATTTCATAACGTCTGTCTGTAGGACGATCCCATCCGATTATGACGCCGTCGCAATTTCTGCAATCATCACGATGTGTTACGATCATTCCTACCGCAAATTTTACGTCCTCTGTTCTAATGAATTCCCATGTTTGTTTTAAACGAAGTTTTTTGATCTGAAAATTTAATGTTATACTTTAATTTATCATTCTTGCCATTTAATTCTTAAATATACGCACTTATAGCAAATTTAATTACACTTATTGTTAAATTATAAATAATTATAACTCATATGTATATAGCTGTACGTGTCAAACATACTTTACAGTGGCTATTACAATGTAGATAAATCTTATTTCGCTCGTTAATCTGAGAAGTGTTGTTGTAATGGTATGTCAAATCCACAACTCTTAGCATTAAATCGTGTCGCATCCTAATTCGTGCTGTTTCATCAAAACTTTCGCGGAATACAGAGTTTTTAAAAATTGGATGCTGCGACTCCCAGTGATACAGTTTATTCACAAGACAATCCGGGAATGTCTCAGAAATAAAACTAAAACATCTTTCACTTTTTGGATTAATCGTGCCACTGCAAAGCAAAAAATTATTTATCTATTATGCGCACCTGTGTATGTAGAAAGTGGAAATACCTTTTCGAAGATTTCGATAGTTTCAAATTTAATTTTATACTATACTTACTATTTGGATTTCCAATATATACAGCGGGTTGCGATTGGTCGACCAGGGATTCTTATAATGTCGGAACGTAAACCAAGTCTTCTTGCCACGCTGTGATATATTATTAATAAAATCATTTCTTGTCCATATCTACTTTTTAATACCTATGCCAGAAATTACAATAAATTAAAGAGAAAGTGACAGTATTTTTAATATATAAACAACCAAATGACCATGCTCACAGTACGATTTTCTTCTTCTGACGCCACATATAGTTATAATATACATTATATAACTTACATTATCTATACACATGTATTCCAGATTTGTATCGTCCACTTTGCACGGTCGGAAATTTAATTTGCTAAACATGTATTCGTTGAGTGTATCGATAAGCTGAATTCCTTCCACTTCGTTCCAGTGATTATTGTATATATTATTGCTTTTCCAATAAGAAAAGGTTTCAACGGACGTTGAAAATATAGAATGATCATGATGTTTTTCTTTCAGATAATTTTGTACCTCTAGTGCGATATTATCCAAAGATTCTACTACGTACGCGTAAGATACATCCTTTTGGATTTTAATAGTTTGTGCCACATTATAGGCAATCCATTCCATAAGCCGCAGTCTGTCACCTAAACCATCAAATTTGTCCAACTCCAATTGTAAATTATATTTCCTCATAATGTGAAATAGTTTTTCGTAATAATATCTTTCGGTTAAATCGCAACCAGTTCTTCTGAAAAATTACATATGAAAACTGTGCAAGAACATAATCTATAAAGTTGTTAACACTATAAGATATTGAGTATCCTACCGTGGAGATTGTGTAAGCAAGTTTTTCAGCTCATCGTTGAAAAAGTAAATATGGAAAATCTTTGATCATAATAAATTATCGCCTCATAATTATGTATGTTTTTATGATCATGTAAAAAACGAAATATATGATTAAAATTCACATAATTATCGATTGATTTATTTTGACAATGTCTATATCTCACATGAGATATGTATTTTCGTAATATTCTTGAATAACTGATACCCAATTCTATAAAGTTCATAATTTGTTTCTTGGATTTGTATTCTTTATGATAATATTTAGAATATATAAGACGTACGTAATGCGTTAAACAATCGTATTTTTCATGATCCTTAGTTTCAGACAATATGTCACAATATTTTTTTAAAGAAGGCCATCTGAAAAATGAAACAAGAAGTGATTTAATAAAGTTTTCAAAATATATTAAAAGTTCTCTTGCATCACTATAATCAAAATTCAGAGCATTTTTAAAATAACTATAAATTTTTATATATTATATTTATTTAGTATACTCTACAAATTAATCAGTAAATTGATATAATTTTATAATATTACAATTATAAAAAGTATTCTATTTTATTTACTTCATATTTATTTCATCATATTATACATTTGTATTGTTATATTTCTCTCTCATTTCTAATTATATTATATTTATTTGTTATGTTATAAAAATGGGTAGAAAAACACCGTTTGCATGCGTTTTCAATAAAATTTTTCAATTACAGAAAAAATTATTTCATTATATTTAATGTATTTATAAAAATTATGTTATGTGTAAGAAGATAAAATGGACAATTAAAGGAAGCGTTTTGAATGTTTAATTGCACGATAATTCCATTTTCTGCGTCTTGTCCCTCATTAATGCGTTTTTTTATGCGTTCGTTTTTATTAGGTGTATCAACTGAAAATCTTAAATATATTTTATCGCGTTATTTTCTTAATACAAAATCATCCAGTTGTGTAATAATAAAGAGTGTGTACTTTTTGTATTCGATAAATTATGAGATAAAAATATTTAATAAAATAAAAATGTTTTTCAATGGACTCACCTAATATCCATTGTTAGAGTCTTTTTAACTGTTGTTTTAATAAATGAATATTAATTTTATTAATAAATTTTAAATATAGGAATATATATATATATATATAATTTATTAAATATTCCGAAAAGTATCACTTTATTATTTGATTCCATATGTTAATGATTACGGATTAGAAATGAAAGAAAAATAATAAATGGATTGGATGAAACTATATAATCCAAAATTATAGAAAATTCTTAATTATAAAAAATCGTTATATTTCTACAAAAAAATATCATATAGACAACACATACGTGCGCGCCATTGTCTAATTTTCTGTAATTGTATTTAATTTTATTTTGAAACAAGAACTGTGTTAAGCAAATGTAACTCACAATGCAAATCAAGACGCATCTAATCGTCGCATCATCGCGGAAAAAAGGCACCAATATTTACGAGAATCGACTTGTTTTGCTTTTCTTAGAAAATGATTATTTAATAGATTCTTTTTCATTCTACTCTATTTGATTATATATTATATTTTTTATATTTGTGATATTTTAAATAAAATTTTCAAATATATATACAAATATTGTGATAATGCAATATCTGATTTATTCATGAAAAATATACAAACAAAAAATTACCTTTGAGAAAATTTCTTTTCCATATACTTTGGATAGTTGGCTGCGTAACGAAATTGTTTGCAGGTGCATCGGAAATTAATGATATCCTCGATGGTGATGTTCTTATAGCTGAGAATGATGGATATCAATTCTTCTGGTAAGGATATTATCGGTGCCATTATGACAAGAATTCGAGAAAGAGCACTACAGAAAATTATATAAATCGAAGTAATTGCAACAAATTATTCGCGTATAATTATTAAAAATTTCAATTCGCATAACACGTGTTCGATGTAAACGGTACGGACGTTGTTCACGTTCTGTCCACTCTTCTTTTGAAATTTTTACCTAAGAACCTAAAATATGCTCTCCCGTCGTGCTCATTGTCACGTGATGTACCATATACATAGAAAAGAGAAACAAAATATATTGTTGGAAATTCTATTGTTCCATTTTTATTCGACAATGAACCTTCAAGACAGAAGAATCACAGAGAATAGTATATTGAATATAACGCATAAAAGTGCGTAGCAACTATATAAAAATATTAAGTCATCCTTTAAACTATGCGTCTCTTTATAGCTTGCATGGAATAATAAATTAAAAATTCTAAGAGATTTTTAATTTTTCAAACAAAATAAATATAAATAAATGTATTTATTTATATTTTATACATTTATTAATTGTTTGTAACATAAATATTTACGAAAGTACCATTTTCCTATTTCGAGAACAATGCAATTTCTTTGAATCCTATTAAATCTTTCAGGTAATGCATTCTTGTAAGAAAAATACAATAGAAAGAGTTTGAATTAGAATTTTAGAAATGAGATGACTCTTATATTCTAATGCATGGAAAAAAATGTATGATCCATACATTTGAGGAGAAAAATGTCGAACTCGCAATCTTAAACCACGTTCACGTAAATGTCTTCTAATTGTTTGATCACTGATTCAAACAATTTAAGTTAATAATTTTTTCAAACTATGTTAAGTTAAATTTAATGGTGAAAAAATTAATTTTCGCAATTTTTCGCAATAACATCGCATTTGGGTCTATTGGCCGATATATATATATATATATATATATATATATATATATATATATAAAAAATTAACTTTTTAAGTATAAATTAAATTTAATCTGAACTTTTAACCAAATTAATTTTTTAATATTTTAATGCAACAGAAATAATTTTGTAAACCATTAAATTTAACAATATTAAAAATATTTTACTGACTCTCGAAATAAATATATATATATATATATATATATATATATATATATATCCCAGATAGTACCATGTCTAAAATGCACGCATAAGTCATCATTAAGAAATATTTAAGATATCTTTAAGAAATCTTATGATCATATCATATTGTATATATATATATATATATATATGTACACACACACACATATATATCCCAGATAGCACCATGTCCAAAATGCACCCATAAGAAATCTTTAAGATGTTTTCAAGATGTCTTTGGGATATCATATCATAAGATTTCTTAAAGATATCTTAAATATTTCTTAATGATGACTTATGCGTGCATTTTAGACATGGTACTATCTGGGATATACATATATATATATTATATATTTATTTCGAGAGTCAGTAAAATATTTTTAATATTGTTAAATTTAATGGTTTACAAAATTATTTCTGTTACATTAAAATATTAAAAAACTAATTTGGTTAAAAGTTCAGATTAAATTTAATTTATAGTTAAAAAGTTAATTTTTAAAAAATATTTATATTTAATTAAAATGTCATAACTTTTTAATTTTAAATTTATTCTCTCCCTTGTTAATTTTTTATATTTATATAGACAAAATAATAAATAAGGAATATCAATTAAAATTTCTATTCGCTCGTGTATTGTATAAAACAACAAATGTATTAAAAAAATGCCAACTTAAATTATCGAGCAATATTTAAGATGTTGTATCCAATTAAAATTTATTCCATAAATAATATATTAAAATTACAAAAAACCTTTCATAAACGTTTCAACCGCACGCGGTCTTCCTCAGTATAACAAAATGTTAAGTACTTTATAATTCTTACAAAAAAATAAATCATAATATTCTTAAAATTACTAATAGTCCGTTACTTCGAGTATAATAATAGCTCTTACTATTAATTATTTTCATTTTTAAATACTTATTATTGTGTCACACATTCCCAGATAGCAACCGTACATCATTTTGACGTCGATGACGTCATTCCCTTATAGAAATTTATTACTAGTAACGCCAATTTATCACTTATTTCGAGTATTTAATCACTTTATTTGGAGTACTTAAATTACTGTATATCGCAGTATTTTAAGTATTCGAAATAAGTAATTAATTGGCGTTACTAGTGATAAATTTCTATAAGGGTTAAACATTAAAATGACATCATTTGACGTTTAATGACGTCAGTTTATGGGTTGTGAATTTGTGTTATAAACCTTTATACAGGGTGTCCGGTAACTAACGGACCAACGATTACAAGTGGATTCTTTGGTCAATTTGGGAATGATTTTTCCTCAGCAAAAATGTCGAAAAAGGTCATCATTTTTTACAACTTTCCAATATTTGTCATTATGTATCTTTATAACTAAGCCTCAAATTAAAATTTTATCATAGTAAACTCTATACCTGAAATTAGCTGAAAAATGTAATTATGTTAGACTTTTAACGCCAAAACGTTTAGTTTTCAAAAAACCCATTTTTTTCAATCGCTTATAACTCGAAAATTATTGACTTCTCACTATTTTTGCTAAGGAAAAATCGTCTCTAAATTAGCCAGAGAATCCGCTCTCAATCATTGGTCCGTTAGTTACCGGACACCCTGTATATGCACTCAATGTGCACTTTAGTGCATCCGACCGAATTCGTTAAAATAAATTTCTAGCGCGAATCAATTTTCTGGAGACGTCAATTCACGTACAACGATGCCGTATGCACGTAAAAAGCAACACCGAGGTGACACACACTTGAAGAAAGGCTGGAGGACGAAGCGAAGGAAGAAGGACCTGGACGAGGTACGTTGAAGAGTTCGCGCGTAACCTCTTTCAGCCACGTGAATGATGTGGTGCGAATTTGAGATTCGTGATTAGGTACAGGATGACGTGAATCTCTGAATTTTTAGATCGATGAAGATCTGAAGGCAAACACGGAGAAGCTGCTGAATCAGGAGGTGGATTTTGAAAGACCCGGAGCGGCGCAACATTATTGCATTCATTGCGCGTAAGTTTGATATTGTAATATAACCTTATAATCCAGCCTTTCGTCCAAATAATACAAAATTGAGCCATTCTTTAAATTGTCATCCAGAAAATCTCAAACTCTGCGCAAAATTACATGCTTTTTTCTCAAATAATCCCTATGAAAAATGATATTGCAAAAATATAGAAATATAATAAAATAGAAATAACTTTAAATGTAAAATATATTGCATTTAAAATGCATTCTAAATTTATAAGATAAAATATATATTAAATTTCACGCGTTTTTTTTTTTTTCACAAATCTCTCTGAAAAATAATATTGCAAAAAGTATATAAATATAATAAAGTAGAAATATAACTTTTCATGTAAAATATTATATTGCATTTAAAATGTATTATACGTATATAAAATATATTAAATTTCTCCTGTTTTTTTTCTCAAATCTCTGAAAATAATATTGTAAAAATATATAAACATAATAAAAGAGAAATGTAATTTTTATGTAAAATGATATTGCATTTAAAATGTATTATACGTATATAAAATATATTAAATTTCACGTGTAAATTAATACTGTACTGTTATCTACAATATATTACATACCGAAAAATAATATGATATAAAAGCATAATTGTTCACCATTAATATCATAATGCAATATTTTAATAAGATATATTGAACAATATCTTATTAACGCTATTAAAAATTGAGAAAGATCTTATTGCTTGATTTCAGGAGGTATTTTATAAACGAAACTGCTCTACACTCTCATTTCAACACCAAAGTGCATAAACGACGATTGAAGGCACTCGAGTTAGAGCCATATAGCATCGAAGAATCTGAAAGAGCAGCCAGCAAGGGAAGCTATGTCGCACCACAAAAGCGAAAGATCGAAACTATAACAAGAGAAAATTCTAATAAGAAAGACACAGATGCTGGGCCAAAAGCTAAGGCAATAAAGATAGATGAATAAGTTTAATTTATCATAATAGTGCTGCATCTTCATATTATGATATGCGAAAGGATTTAGGAAGCTCAACAACACAATGATTAATCTGTGCAGATTCACGAACGCTTTGCAGCGAACATGTAGAGTCCTAATGCGCGATGTTCGTCGTAGGACCTTCCTCTCGACGAATTTCAAGAGAGATTACAGTTCAGCATTGTACATTTCTGGTAATAAAGCTTACAAGGCATTCGCATTCCTGTCACCGTACCTGGATTGCGATGAGAGATTTGCTGATATGGAGAAACTGCGGAAAGAGCTGGTGCTACGTGGGATGAATGATGTGAATGTGATTCAGTTGAAGAATGCGTGGGATTTCTACTTGAAGATGGTTGGGGACAGAAGTGCTTTAGAGAGCAACAATTCCGAACTCGCGGGTCGCGTGAAAAGTTTACTCGAAAGTCCCGAACGTACTACTGAGCAAGAGCAAGAAATCCTCAAACTGCGTACCCAGTTGAATATCATACGACAAGACTTGAAGACCATCAAAGAAGCGATCTGGGAGTTGGACGAAGATGTGATGGAGAGAATCTTGAAATTACCAAACGAGTTGGATCCTAGAACACCCATCGACGAGTCGGTGGTGCTGAAGAGCATCGGCAGCGTGCTCGAATTGTCCCAGGAAGACAAAAGAAGGAGTCACATCGACATCGGAACAAGCTTGGATCTACTGCAATACAAGAACCCCATGCATTATTATCTATGCAACGACGCAGCCTTGTTCGAGCTCGCCATCCTGGCGCACGCGGGCAGAATTTTCGGCGAAAACGACATGGTCAGGATAGTCGGGACCGATTTCAGTCGTAGTCTCGTAGTAGAAGCTTCCGGTTTGAATCACGAGGACCCCACGGCAGCTTTCGTCCTAGAGAATCACAACGAGGTCGAGAGGGGCTCGCCAAATCGCATGCACCTGGTCGGTGGCGCGAGCCTGGTCTCTTTCCTGATCCTACATACGAAACAATTGATAAATCCCAATCAGTTCCCGCTCAAGTACTTCACCACCGGGAGACAGTACACGCCGGTGCCGCGTGACGCGCAGGTGTGCGGTTTGTTCACGGCTTGCCAAGCATCCGTGGCGCACGCCTTCGTCGTGGTGAAGGACACGAGGAGCGAGGAGTACGAGACTCGGTTCAACGAGCTCCTGGAGAACGTATGCAGATTGTATGACGACCTGGACGTTCATTATCGCGTTGTCATGCGAGCCGCGTCCGAGCTGCAGCCTTGCGAGGGCCTGCGCGTCTCCTTCGAGATGTGGTCGCCCTTCGCGAATCAGTATGTCGAGGTCGGTCACGTGTCCGCGTACGGAACTTACTTCAGCAAGAGATTACTCATCGCCTACCAGACCCCTCGTGGCAGAGACTTTCCCGCAATGATATCCGGCACCGTTCTCTCCGTTCCGCGTCTGCTGGCTTGCATGCTCGAGCAAAAACCCGACGAATTCGTGATTCCACCGAGGATTGCCGAACTTGTGCCTTCGGACGATTACACGACTACATAAATTAATATGCTATGTAAATCAGTAATTGGAGAAATTGTTGAATTGCTATTAAAGCTCTTGAGTCCCCTCGCTGCTGCCATGTTAGATTGTGACATCACAATTCCAACATAGTCGGTGAGGAGCCAGGAACCTTAATATATTGTAAAAATATTGTATAAATTTTTTTCCAGACTAAGGAAAAATGTTTAATGCTTTTCTGAAATATGTAGGAATGGATATCAATTGATAATATAGAAGTTGTAAAGAGGCACGAGTTTCAGTTTATAATTTTGGTCCATAATATATATTAGCGCAATAATAAATGCTGGAGTATGTTACTTGACTTTTGTACAAAGCATCGTCTTAGGCTGCTATTTTACAAGATATCGTTCGATGTAATGCAGAACTTCGAAAGCGACTTCCACCATGATAAGAATGATTATCATCCATTCCAAACGAACGTGATGACGGTCACTCAAGTGCGACGATAAAATGCTTACCAATTCCACACAGTGGTTTAATCTTTCATTCATCACCTGTACAAAAGATATATATATATAAAACCAGATAAAAATATATAAAAAGATATAAAATATTATATATAAAGAAAAACAGATATAATATTATAAAAAACAGATAATTGTATAAAAAAAATAAAATATATATATATATATATAAATGAATGATAAAGTTAAGATACTTTACAAATAAGACTTACTCTCGTACGCTTTGTGATGCTAAAGTATCCGCAAATGTGTTGATACAAGTTTTCGAGATCGTCTCGTTCCCAGTAAAAATCTGGCGTATCCAACAAATCCGAGGTGAGATTAATCCGATGCCTGAGAGCAAAAAGTTCGCCCTGTTTCCTCAACACCTCCTGCTGCGTCATCTGAAGCTTCCTTCCGGCTTTCAGATCTTCCGTAACAAATTCGATCGAATCGACGTAACGATTCAACGATGCCTCCCAGATGCCTAATTTGACAGATTGCGCCATGGCATTAGAGAATGTATACTTGTCCAGCTTGTCCAAGTTTCCGGTGTCTCGAGCCAAGATGATGTCGCCGTCCTTCAAGTGACTCTTCTTCCTAAGGAGATTAAGGATAATAATAAAATAATATATAATAATATAATTACTAAATAAAAATACTATAATAATATTATAATACTATAATAATTACTTAATTTTAATATAATTACTAAATTTACTTCTCGTGAATTACTAAATTTATTTCCCAAAATATATATTCGTTTTGCTTTTTAATATGTCTTGGAAAATGAATAATTATATATATGCACATAATGTGTTTTTTTTATGAAAGCAATTAATAATGAAAATAGTTATACCCGAAATCCGCATAAGTGTAATGCATCAACTCGCTTTCGGTGTGAATCAGCTCCTTTATGTAACGATTCTGCTCGTAATTTTTCAGAAACTGCAATAGGTTGCCACATTCGAGATCGGAAATATTCCACATGACGATACTACCCTCTCGAAAGAAAAAGATCTCCCGTGGTTCGTGTCCCACTTCGTATTTTGCCACCGCATGTATAACATCGGGCAAGGCTGTAAAAAACAATGAACACAATATAAATTAAATTTTAATTAATTCCTGGAATTAAATGGACTAGAAGAAATATCAAGAAGATTAAATAAAAAATGAATAAATTTGATTTTTCTTTTTTTATGTGTATTATTTTGTGAAACTTGGGGTATAACTAATGTATTAAAATTTAAATTCAAATTGTGAGATAATTTCAGATAAAGACGTGTTCAGATTTTTTGTTTCATACGTAAATGGAAAAAATCCTAAATAGCAATAATCGAAAAGATGAGTGAAGAAAACATTCACAAATGTACAGACATCAACAGACTGTTGAATAAAAAATGATCGCAAATACACATGCATTCGAAAGTCAGGGCCTATCGAGAGATAATATAAAGACGATATAAAATAAAACTTCGAATTAAAACAAGACTGAGAGACTATCTAATAATTAAGAAGTTTGTTTATAATAAAGAAATCGCGGTAAACATATATATATAGTAATATATTCTAATTTATTTTTAATTCAATAATCATAAAAATGTATGTATACAAAATATAAATTTGTATAAATGTCAAGGCCTCTTCTATGGCAAACAATATTGCGCTTTGAGAAGCAACAAGAAGGAATGATATCGCAACGTAGCTGCATAATTATATGTTATATTATACAATTAATTATATATAACACAATTTGCGCTCTTTGCATGTTATCCTACATTTTAATCGATCAAAAACGGACTGTCACAAGCACCTAATCCAGTCGCCACCCCGCCTTCGTTATCGATAGCCAATTTCGTTCTCAACATATGACCACCCTGTTTATTGACAATAATATTTCTATCATCTCCGATGATAACGCCGAATATGCCTAACTCCGAGACGAACTGTTTCGTGTCCACGTTCTCGTTAATTCCAGGTTTCACGGCGTAGTTTTCATGCACTGGCGGATAAATCCGATCCATGAGAATCCAAGCTACTCGAGTTTGCTCGGATTTGACTGATTCTAAGAAGTTCTTGATATCCATTCCATACAAATTGTTGCAGCCCCCTTCTCTCTGCGGCTTTAACACGAAACGCTGAGGGTCCGAAATTCCCATTTCCACAGCAACATTCCCATGTTCGTCAAAATCCAGTGGATATAGACCTGATTAATAAAAAATTAATTAAAAAATGTAATTTAATTTTACTAAAACATGTAATTAAGATCATAAATATATTTTGAATTATTCTTATATTATCAATATTATAGAATCGCAACATGTTTCTGTAGCTTAGAACTCAAAGAACAAAATCCTACATTTACAGAGTGTCTACTCAAATTTTGTAAAAAAATTCCCTGAGAATTCCCAATATTAAAATTTCAAGTAAAATCAGAAAATTTGAACTTTCTAAAAGCTCCTTTTATTATATACGCTTTTTTCATTCATATAATTGAAAAATTATCAAGAGTGCAGATTTTTTTTACCATTTAATATTGATTTATTAATTATAAAATTAATTTGCATAATAACATTATATCTGAATGCTAAAAATATATGCAAGAATATAAAGTAAAAACAGAAAAAAATAATTTATTATAAACGTCTTAAGGAATATTAATTTATTCAAATTAATTGTTTATTAAATTATTATTTATTTGTTTATTAAATTATTATTTCTTTAATTATTTATTATAAGTAAGGAGTATTAATTTCTTTAAATATTACTTATTAAATTAAAAAATTGAACAATTTTGCATGAAACTTGATCTTGATACCGAAATAAATCGTCAATAAAAAAATTACATAAAATTTTAATAAAAATTTAAATATTGCGAAGATACGTTAGATATATGTTTCTTAAAAGTGCTAAATAAAAGTAAAATTATTAAAAAGACATTTTTTTTAAATTCCTTGAATCTCAATCAAATTCCATGAGAATTCTCTGGTTTTTCAAGATTGGAAAAAACAAAATTCCCTGAGAATACCAAGTTTTCAAGGTTTTTCCCAGGAGTATACACCCTGATTTATATATAAATATACAAGAGAGAGAAAGAGCAATGAAATGTATACCAGTAAATATTTCTTTAACTTTCATCGCCGTTTTCTCGTCCTTTAAGAAACGCGCGACCATCCCGGGCTTTGCAAGAGTCTGTTGAACCTTCTTTGTACCAGCCAAATGATACTGAATGCTTGGACATTTGATCGCCAATGACCTCTCAATCAGCAATCTCGCGTCCCACTCTTTTTTCGTGTGATATTGTCCAGGCTCGTAGCCGCATCTGTAGTAGACTACAGACACAACGTAATCGTTCACTATCAATTCCTTGTCTGGGCCCAGTCTCGCAGTTTCCGCTAATTGCGTCAGATTTCTGCGAATCACCTTTACATTTGGATTCTGCTTTCGTATCTCGAATTCGTGGAAACGCTGATCGCAGATATTGTACGTAATGTCCTCGATAACAAATAAAATGACAGCCCTGTAAATAATTTTACATCTTTAATTACATGCAAATAAGAATAAAATTTATTATATGAAAAAAATAAATAAAATTGCAAAATTTGTGGTAAGAGAATGGAGGTCTGACAAGTAGTAATAAATTTAAAAAAATTATTTATAAACATACTGAGGATTGCCGTACAAACTCCATGCTTCTATCATGCCTGAGCATAGTGTTTGCAGCGCATTATTTTCAGGAAGATTGTCCAATTCTGTCGTATACCCAAGTTCTTGCAAGACAAACTTATGCAACTGAGTGGATACAGGACCCAGCCAGCCGAATCCTGAGGCAATTGTATTTATCTCAACCTGTTTCCAACAACAATGCGGCTTAAGTTTCTTCTTGGTGTCTTTCTTCGGACAACTTGTATCCAGCATCAGATCTGAGCGCAAGATACCAAGGGATACCTTCTGAGCAGCCCCTTCTTCGCGAACAATCTCATAAATGTCAAATAAGTTTCTAGTGAAATCATCAACCTTAACAGTCTCTTCCAAAGTCTCCTTCAAAAAGTCATAATCGTGAGCTACTCTGTGTATGAGCATGTTTAAAGTGATCTGAATGTCACAAGCATTTTGGAACTCTTCCCTTGGAAATGGAGATGGCAACAGCATGAATGGTGCAAACTGCAAGACGTCTCTGTTAAAATTGACCTTCGATCTCAAACACATCCCATTCATGAGGGCCCAATCCTTCGCCTTCTCAATCAGGTCTTCCAATTCTTTTCTTGAAATGTTCAGCGAGATGGACAGCTTCATTATCGCTTGCTTATCCTCATACATTCTTCCCAAGCTAAACTTTGCTCCTATCAATCTTCAAACATTCAGTAATAAACTTATATACTTTATTTTTGTACTTCCAATTAAAATGTCCCAGAATAAACAATCCTCATTCAATCCTCAAAAGATTGCATTCAAATACAAGCTTTGTTTTGATTACGTCAACAGATAAATTCAAAATGATCATATTGTATGTACAAAAGTTAGGTGTTTTTTTCTTCACAAAAATGTGAATATTCAGTATAATAAAAATGATAAAAAAATTATCAACAATCACTTCACTGCATTTGATTCACTTATAATATTTCACTTTGAAATGTGTGATTAATTAGGGGCATAAATTATTTCTTTATCGTGATGATATCAGATACGTTGATCGATGTTGAAGAACAACCGGTTCGTAGGTTATCAAATGTATGCAATGATTAATATGAATAATTCCTATGTGTTGAATGACTCTAAAAACAACCGGCAGTTTACAGCAGCTGATAGCAACTGATAAACTTGATTCTCGTCTCCGCTTTATTAAGCGTCAAACAGCTGATGATTCAGATGAATGAACCAATCAAAATTCTTAAAAATCGATATACTCGGTGACACGTAAAAACGGATATATATATATTGCTCAAAATTTCGTGTAATCTTGCAATCATTTATGTGGCATTAAGATTATTTCGCAAAAATTTCGAAAAAAGATATTGAGAAATTTTGCAAAAAATACTTACAATTCGTGGAAGTAGATATTTTACTGGGAATATAAAGTTGCTGATCCAGCAGGCCGTAAGCTAAAGCTTCCAAGTTATACTCTTCTGCCGTAGCTAAAGCTTTTACATTCCATGTCTAATAAAAAGAAATCTTTTTTACATATATATAATTATATATACTATTTTTTTATGCATATTATGTATATTATATATACTATTTTTTTATACATATATAATTATATATACTATTTTTTATACATATGTATATTATATATACTATTTTATAGTATATATAAATATAATAGTATATATATAATTAAATATACTATTTCATACATATATCTTTTTCATATACATATTTTTCTGCCTTTCACATACATTATACACATTGTTACAGATTTGCAAGGCAATATTCTAATTTCTAACACAGACATATAAACTCACATCAGGTTTTGGAACCTTGTCATCGATCACAACTTTATTTCTTCTAGGCCTCTTCTTCATTTGCAATGTAGATATACTTTCTACGATGTCAGTTGCATTTTCCTTAAATTTATTCTTCTGCAGTTGTAAGATTATAGAATTGTGAAAAAGTCTCCTGTGAACTTTGCACATTATATGTGTGGAAAACTCAATCTGCACCACCACTGGCTTTATTTGCATAGCTCTTAAATTTGTTGCGATGCCCCAACAAGCATCAACGTTAATTTTACTTCTGCAGCTTGATAACACAAATCTATGAATCATAGCGAGACTCATTTTATTAGATTTTGTACAGTCAAAACTATACACTAATATAATTTGCACTATTCTTGTGCGTACAAGAAATATATATTTCTGTACAAAATAATTTTAATAATTTTGTACTCCTCAACGTAAGTAAAACAAATAAAGGAAGATAATTATAAAAATTATTAACACAATTCACATACAATAATAATTATCTCCAAACACAAAGTTCATTGTTCACTAATATTGTTCATACCGATATTGATGATATCATCTATCATCAGTCATTTAAAACGATCTTTTAAATTACTTTTAGTAAAGTATTTTTTTTCAAATTTATATTATATATTTACATGTGCAATGCACATTTCTTTGCAGTAAATTCAGGTTATGTTGTAAGTGGTGGGTTAGAACACTTTTTGTGACACTTTCTGGATTTTGCAATATCCTGCAACTGTAACCTCCATAAAGTTGTTGATTGTACTAAGATAGGTATTATATAAAAGCTGTTGATAATTATATAATAAACTTGATAATTTTACAATATGTGTGACAATAGAAAAAATAAAATAAAATAATAATAGTTTATAAAATAAAATATTTAAATATTTTTATTATTAATATTTAAATAAATTTTATATTTAAATTTAATATTTAAATTTTAAATAATATTTTTATTATTAATATTTAAATAAATTTTAAATATTACGTAGACAATAAATAATTATTTATTTTTTAATAACAATTTAGATCGATTAATTATTCAACCTAAATATAGAATTAAAATAAATCTAACGCATTAAACCTAAATTAAAAATAAAATTTATCTTTGTTTGCTGCAAGATAAAAATTATATATTAGTTTCTTTTGATATTAAAATATCTTACAAAAATAAATTACTCACATTAATTCTTGCGTTTACGTAATTTGAATAATAATTATTATATTTATTTTTATAACAATTTCAATACAATTTAGATCGATTAATTATTCAACCTAAATATAGAATTAAAATAAATCTAACACATTAACCTAAATTAAAAATAAAATTTATCTTTGTTTGCTGCAAGATAAAAATGATATATTAGTTTCTTTTGATATTAAAAATATCTTTCAAAAGTAAACTACTCACATTAATTCTTGCGTTTACGTAATTTGAATAATAATTAAGTAGATAATTAGTATAATGTAATATAATTAGATGAAGAAGTTATAAAATCAGAGAATTTATCTCACGAAATTAAAATTTGAATATGATTACAGCATCGAGTAGATTGCTCGACCAATCAGAGCGAAGGAAGCACAGATCTCTTCGTCCCGATTGGTCGATCGAATAATCTCCAAGTCGAGTGCACAAAAGTTCGTCCGAAGTGCACCGAAGCTTTCCGAAAAGTGGAGCCAACCGGAAGTCGGGACTTCTCTTGTGTTAGACACGTGAATGTTTTAGCGTGCTGGTTCAGCGCTGATCAGTTTTATTCGAATACAAATTGGTTATCTCGACCAGGACGAGAATTCAATCATGGTAAGCGATTAATGTGACACCGATTAATATTTCTGATGCAAAATTTGCCATAGCGATAGAATATTTAACTTCTAAAAATCAAAATCAAATACTGAATTAGGTTAGGTGTTCAAACGAAGCTACAACAATGTTGCACCTATTTTTTAACACAAAATTGCGAAATTATCATCATTGTCATCATCATCATCATTATTTTTATTATTATTATCATTGATATCATCATCATTATTTTTATTATTATCATCGATATCATCATCATCATCATCATTATCATTATCATTATCATTATTATTATTTATCATCAAATTAATATAATTTATTAAAATCGGTATGTTTCATTTTTATTTTCCAGGCTACCACCAAGGTGGATAATCCTGAAAAGCCAGGGCAGGAAGTCACTCCCATTCATCGCATTAGAATTACACTTACATCTCGCAATGTTCGTTCCCTCGAGAAAGGTAAATATAAGTTTGATAGATCTCATTATTTATTTTGTTAATTGACAGTAAAACTTTAGAAGCAAATAAACAATATAATTTGAAATGCAAACTTAATATGGTATAAATAACTGAATAATTCTTTTTTAGTGTGTGCTGAATTAATCAATGGAGCTAAGAAGCAGAAGTTGAAGGTTAAGGGACCTGTTCGCATGCCGACAAAGATTTTGAGAATAACCACTCGCAAAACACCTTGCGGCGAGGGTTCAAAGACATGGGATCGTTTCCAGATGCGAATACACAAGAGAGTCATTGATTTGTATTCGCCATCAGAAATTGTGAAACAAATCACAAGCATTTCAATCGAGCCTGGTGTAGAGGTGGAAGTGACGATTGCCAATGAATAAACAATGACATTAAAACTGTATACAAAGTTTTAATAAAAATATAAAAAAAACTGAACCTATGTTTTATAGATTTTTTTTACACATCATAAATAACTTTTTCTAGATTATTAAATATATTCACTAAATGTATAATATTGAGTAATTTATCAGCTGTCTTCAGATCATTTATTGTATATCAATTCAGTAAAAAACTTCATTTTTTCGTATAAATTACAGTAGATTAATTTTTACAGCTTTTATTAGAGGAACCGCACTAATATGTTCAACGAGGCGTAAAGTATAGAATAGAATAGTTTATTAAAGTTTAGCTGTATAATAAAAAAAAGAACACATGCAAATATTTGTCCATATTATCAAATATGTACTTTATTATTCGAATATATATGTATATATCTTCAAATTTCATCCTCAGAGTCTCCCTCCTTGTCATTATGCCCCAGGCCTTTATTATTATATTCTACTTTGCTGTTTTGCTCAGCTCCTTCGCCGCCGCTGAAATCACCTTCCATTCCCTCCACCTCCTCTTCATCGTCATCGCCAGCCACTTCCGCATTTTCAAGTTCCGCTCGTTCCATTTGTCGCGCCAATTCCGCCTCGTCCGTTGCGGTGACAACCTTTGGCTGAGAAAAAGAAAAGTAGATTTTTACTAACAGCACGTAAACAATGATTTACACAAATTTTGTAAAAAAATTTCTGATAAAAATAAAACAAAAACATAATTTATTATAAACGTCTCAAGAAATACTAATTTATTTAAATTATTTATAAAATTAATTATTTATTAATTCATTATTCATTTATTTATTTATTAAATATATAAGGAGTACTAATTAAATTAAATATTATCTATTAAAAACTTGAATAATTTTCTATGAAATAATTTATAAATTTTATTATAATTTATATAAAATCTTGATACTAAAAATAGATCCCCAATAAAAAGATTTTCATAAAAATTTAAAAAAGAATCTTGTAAAAATTCCCTGAATCCAAATTAAATTTCATGAGAAATTCTTGATTTTTCAAAGTTGAACAAAGTTTACTGAGAATTCTTTTTTTCCGATGAAAACGTTAGGCTTAGACAAGTGTCTTTATTTGAAAAACTTACTGCCATTTGGACATTGAATACACCTCCGAGCGACGTTATTTTACTCTGGATAACTTCGATTGCGTCGCTTAACGCCTTTAATCCATCCTGTTTTTCCGGTGTCGATGTCGTCATAACTGAAAATTAATTGATAAAATACAATATATTATATAATTATATTATATTATAATATTATATTAATATTAATATATTATATTAATATTATTTAATGTACTTTTGATAAAAGAATATTATAATTTAATATAATTCATGATTTTTTTAAACAAGATAATGTAGGACATACCATATAAGGGAGGAGCGATTAAATTGATTTTTATGGGAAGTTCATCAGTGGAAAGAGCTAAGCCAGCCTTCAATGCAGTCTTTACAGCATCGATACCTTCGTAACCGTAACATGCTACTTCCACATCCGCTCTAATTTTGACTGCTTGCGAGGTGAGTTTCCGTTTGATATTATTTAACAATACTTCTTTCGTGTGCTCGTCAAGACCACATTCTGCTAAAATGGAAGGATCCCTAAAAAAATTGTTTACATTCATAAACACATTTTTTCAGAGACCCAACTTATATTTTATCATCTGCAGCTAATTTCCTCTTACAATACTGATTGCTTGAAGAAATCGTAAGCAGATGCTTTCTGTTTCTTGTATTTTTCCTCAAAATGCCAGGCTGTCTTCTGATATAGTTCTTCTAATTGATCATCATTATCGTAATGTAACAATTCTGCTACATGTCTTAAAATTGAATTAACAGCTTTAGCCTTGGCGTACCTCTCTGTACACTTTTCCACATCCTCGGCGGACACACGACGCTTGCTCAGATCGATATAACCTTTTTTAAAATTTATATGTAATATATAATAATCTATTATACATATATTTTATATTATAATTTTATTATGTATTATAATTATATATATATTATATATTAAATTTATATATAATATATAATACATTATAAATAATGTACCATATATTATAAATTGATAGAGCAAATCGTAATCACCTTTCTCTTTATCCACTCGAATAACTACAACCGGTTCAGTTTTGCCTACTCGAATAAGTTTGTTAATGGACCTAATACGTCTCCTGGACAGTTCAGAGAGCAGGATCATTCCCTCAATGTTATTGTACTCCAACAGGTGCACGTAGGCACCCATCTCAGCTATACTGCGCACATTTACCATCACCACATCTTCCACCTCCGGGTATTTTTCTTTATAAAACCGACACGACAGCACCATATTTGCTAAAAGAAAATTATAAATATGAAACATATGAAACTTAACAATATGCAGTGTCAGAAATGATATATCTGGAGTAAATAGATGGAAAAATAATCCAAATAATTATCTTTAAAAAAAATTATACTATCAACAATGACGCATAGGAGAGCGGAAAAGTTCGCGAATGAAATGTTTATTGAAAAAATAAAATAAAAAATAATTAATAGGTTAATTTTTGTAGGTTAGCTAGTCGAAAAAGTGTCAATACTATTTCGCGCATTACCTAAATAAGTGTACTCGCGCAATGGCAAATCTCTTTTTTATTTTTATCAGCTTGGAGACGTAAACAAGTATATATATTGAACACTCTTTTCCCTTTATCCGTGAATTTCCACGTCCTACAGGACGCAACAGCACGTTTCGCTATGGACTGTCGACATTTGATTTTTTGACGACGAGTTTAAATGAACGAGTTTCGATTTGTCTCCGACAGATGGCGCTAGTGCTCGGAAAATTTGATCTATTCATCATATAATTTTATTTCTCAATAAAAAAGTGTTTATCATATATTATATGTATCGGTAATACTAATTTATAACTAATTAAACAAGATTGAGTAAGTTAATGATTTTTAAAAACTTTTTTAAGTTATATTAAAGTTATGACTTTTTTGTTATTTTTAAGTTATAAATTTTTAAAAGTTAAGTTAAAGTTTGTTTATAAAATTATATAATTTAGTTAAATTAAAAATTGTATAAATAAAAAATTAACTCGGTTAAAATTATATAAGTTAAGGTATTAAATTATAACTGAAGTTAATTCAAAAGTTATTAATTTATTTTAATATCTTTGTAGAAATTTATCACTACCCTTGTAGAACTAGTGATAAATTTCACTAGTAACGCCAATGAATCACTTATTTCGAATACTTAAAATACTAATATACAGTAATTTAAGTACTCGAAATAAGTGATTAAGTACTCGAAATAAGTGATTAAGTTATACTCGAAATAAGTGATAAATTGCGGCATTACTAGTAATAAATTTCTATAAGAGTATAATAACACTAATTAATCACTTGTTTCAAGTACTTAAAATACTAATATACAGTAATTTAAGTACTCGAAATAAGTGATTAAGTACTCGAAATAAGTGCAATGATTAAGTACTCGAAATAAGTGAGAAATTGGCGTTACTAGTGACAGAGAGAAAGATGAGAGCGGCCAGGCCGGCGTTTTGGCTGTTACCGTTTTTACGGGACTGCTTGAAGCGCCCCTCGCACCCGTTTTTAATATCGGAACTAACTGCACACCCATTTTCTGGCAGGGTCGATAAAGTTTGTATTTGGTGCGAGTCCGTGCTACGCCCATAATTTTCGTGTTAACACAGTATCACGTATTCATTCTGTATATGTGCGATCTTTTCTCTTTATTTATATATATATATATATATATATATAAATATAAATTTAACATATATAAGATAGGCAATAAGAGCCAAATCGCGGATGACAGTGCGTTATTCTAAACGAAACTAAATTTTTTCGTTAGAATTAAATACCTGTGCACAAGGCACCAAATTTTACTTGGACACGGCCAAGATATAAAATTGGAATAATCTCTACAAGAGATTTTTAATTCCATGTATCCCCTATTCCCCCTAAGAAATAAAGTGCGAGAGAAAAATATAGATCCGAAAGTCGCAGAATCGGGAAGTGGGTTTCCCGATTCTGCGACTTTCGGATCTATATTTTTCTCTCGCACTTTATTTCTTTAGGGGGAATAGGGGATACATGGAATTAAAAATCTCTTGTAGAGATTATTCCAATTTTATATCTTGGCCGTGTCCAAGTAAAAATTTGGTGCCTTGTGCACAGGTATTTAATTCTAACGAAAAAATTTAGTTTCGTTTAGAATAACGCACTGTCATCCGCGATTTGGCTCTTATTGCTATCTTATATATGTTAAATTTATATTATAGAGCCTATTACAGAGCCTTAGTTAAACTATATATATATATATATATATATATATATATATATATGTATTAAAAATAAAATATAATAAAATAAATATATAAATATATATATATATATATAGTGTAATGAAATATATAAATCTTATTTTAATTAAATAAAAGAACGATTAATTGTTCGACCACCTGGATTTTGGAATGTAATTTTAATATATATCAGGAGACGCGGTAGCGTCTCGCTAAGTTATATCTTTCATTCGTCAAATTAAAATACAATCTACAAAAAAACAAAAAAAAATATCGAAAGATATCGAAAAGATAGCGAAAATATCGAAACAATAGCGAAAATTATCCGTAGGACGCTACTGTGTATCCTTTACCGGACGTAACACGATTTTCGTAACCTTGAAAACAAAAATTTGAAATATTTCATGAACGGAAACATATTTTTCAAAAGATGACCATATCAATCGAAAGCGCGATTTTTTCCGAGTAAAATGAGACCTTAACGAACTTGATAGCTCTATTGGTTGCGGAGATATGAATTTTTCAAGTTATTTTTGGTCGAAAGGTGTCACTTTTTTTTAAGACTACGGCGTCGTACTTGTCCGCGGTCACCCATCCCGACAAAGTGATTCTGTCCGAAGCTGCTTTACCTTATCCGCGGTCACCCATCCTAGTATAGTGACATTTTCCTCAGCTGCTTAACCTTT